GGCCAGTTCTTTCCACCGGTGGGTCTCAAGCGTGGTAATATCCAAAATCTTCTGGACCTACTGGTCCAAGCCTTCAACCATTGGTGGTGTCCACCGAGTTGTTGAAATAGTGAAAAGAGAAGGATCGGTAACAACATGAAACAACCTTTAATCAGAGAAAAGACAGATGTTGACTTATGTGTATGAGTCCATGACTCAAGGAAATATAGAGTTGTGGCCGGGATGATATCTCTAGCGGCAACAATAACAAACCGCTACATCCATCCACGGTCGTTGTCATCATCCATGCTGGTAAGAAAATCATGATGACCACGTTTGCTAAAGTTTATTACTCCCCCACAAAAAATCTTAGGGGAGTAAAGGTTCATCATGTGGGCCAAGGAGAGTTCTTCCCCCATCTCCTGGCATAGACACCATAGACAGGTTACCGTCTGCCACACAGAGGGGCTCACCTGTGCCAAGAAGACTTGATACCGGTAGCAGAACTCCAAGATAACGGGGTCAAGTCCCCCGCTCAATGAGAAAGGGACCAAGTGAAGGGGTACATGTAAACATACGTAAAATCCTTCTTAGGGAAGGTTACTCGCTCCGCCAGATCGGGAGCAATGATGTTCAGATCATGACAACCACGTTCCTCCTTCACAATAGGAATGCTAGAAGGACGGATAGAAGAAGGGTACACACCAACAGCCCATGTGCGGGAGTTAGTAGAAGGAAACTTCTCTTCAAAATTCTTGGTTGTACTGAGCCTTATGGGGATGATGATGCTCACCGTAGGAGAGGCAACATCATTGATGCTTTCTTTGTTTTTTAGAGAGCTTGAGTCTTGGAGAAGGAGGCCATGGTTAGCAGAAGATAATGAAAGTTCTTTGAAGAAGAAGATTAAAGAATGGTGAAAGCAAGAGAGAGTTGAGTGCAAAGAAGTTGAGAGAGTTTGAAAAATTGTAAAGTGTAAAAGAAGAAGAATGAGGCGTATAAGTAAAGGAACAGGCGGCTAAAATTGTGGCCATGATTACCTCGAGAACTAGCGAAAGTATTGCTAAATCATGGAGTGACGCGTGTTCGGGGCATTAAATGCGGAGAGACGTGCATCTAATCAAGCGTTAGAAACTTTTCAGAGGGGATCCAAAAATTTTCCGCCAAGAAAGGTATCTTCACCAACTTCCCGATAACACAAGGATGTGCTACCAAAAAGTAGGGGGACTATCTGTATAGGGTAAAATTGGTTCGTATTAAATACTCGTATAATAGAGCGACACGTGAAACCGGAGATAGATGGAAAGCGAGAGGAGTGGAAACCAAGACCGGGGGGCAGCAGCTTTGGTTGGCACCGGAAAGACCCGAAGGGAATATTGCTAATGAAGACAAACGAATGTCTGCCACCCGACAACATTCAATGAAAAATATTCTGCGGTATTAAATACACAGTTCGTTATAGAGATTTTTGACATTCATAGCATGTCGTTACACATTCATCAATGACCCCCATAATTTTCATTTAAGAGGGGCTTGATTTCTAGGACCTTATTCCCTAGGTGCAACTATAAATAGTGACTTTAACAGCCATTGTAAGGGACACGAATTTTCTGACAAAATAAGGTCTTCTGAAGTTGGCTGAATGATAATGTAACATTGAGTTGGGACGTTAGGATCTCTTGTGTGGGTAAAAACTTATCCACACCGTCAAATATTTACACCCAATTGAGTTAAGTTAACCATGAAAGACAAACTAAAGTATTTTCGTAGCCATTTGGACATAAAAATTGTAATTATTTTTTTTAGAAAAAGTAGTATTTGGAGTTAAGCAGAAAAATAATATTTGAAATTTGAAATTATGTTTGGACATGCATTTCACATGAAAAAATTGTTGAAGTTTTGTTATCGGGAAAAAAATTCCAAACTTTTTGAAAAAATGGTCAAAATCACTTTTTGGCTTTTGAAAAATTCATTTTCAGAAAATCTCCAAAAACTTACAAAATTTTATAGACAAATACATTTTTGAAAAATAATTCCTGAAAAAAAAAGTAATTTTTTTAATGGACAAACGAGTCCCTAGAGTGCAATTTTTAATAAATAAAAAATTTATTGCCTAAGTTCATCTTCTCTGTTGGTTTAAACTTTCAAAGGGCTCTGCCTTTCTTCAGTTTGATAACGGGGAGACAAGTTTTAACTCAACCTCTACATATGTTTGAAATTTTCTTGTCCAAATTTTAGTTTGATACTTTTTTCAAGATTAGTAAGATTGTGACTTAAGCAAAGCCAAGTGCAATTTTGTGAAGCGCATGAGTCTATTAATCTTTTGATGTGTTACGACAAAGGCAAGTATTTTTTTGTTAATGTTTAAACTCACCGTCAATCTGTATCTAAAATATACTCCCCGGGTCCATAATAAGTGTTTTTTTGGCTTTTATTTTTTGTAATCCAAAATAAGTGATTTTTCCAGATTTCAAGATTGAATTAATTATTTTTTTCCTACATTGCCCTTGGAGTAAATAATATTGAAGTATGTGTTAGGAGTATTTATGTGAAGAGCTAGTAAAGGTTAATATGGTCAATTTCATTGCTAATTAATGTTAAAATGTGAGTTTCTTAATATGTGCGAAAACAACCAAAAAATCACTTATTTTGGACCGGAGGGAGTAGCAGAGATAACATGATTATTAAGTATTTTTGTATGTGCAAAACACATGGCATTTAACTATGATTAGATATTAGTAATAATTTAGTTAAAGAAAAGTGAAATGTGTCGTTTATTTATTAAACACCATTACTTTACAGTTAAGTTTTTACCCTCTTCTCTCTCTTGGTTTTCGGTACTTGAAGTAATTAACAGAGGTCGTATTTGTTTTATGCAATTGCGTTATATTTAGACTTGCATTTTATTTGAAAAATTATTACAACTTTGTTGGTGGGAAAAAACTGTTTTTCTAGAAAACTTGACCACTTTTTGATTTTTGAAGAACTCATATTCATAAAATCTCAAAAAACTTACAATTTTTTGTGGACAAATATGATTTGAAAAAATTTCCGGAAAAAAGGAACTTTTTACTTTTTATTTATGTCCAAATGGATCCTAAATTGTACTCCCTCCGGTTCACAATAAGTGTCCAATTTACTTTTAACACGCCCATTAAGAAAATACTAAATTCTATACAAAAATACCTACTATGACTAAACTACCCTTAATTAAACATTTAATGTGAGGAGTAAGAAAACTTTTTAGGGATATGTACATAGGGGTTATTTTGTAAAAACAAATTGAATTCTTTCTTGATTACATAACTAGACACTTATTTTGAACCAAAATGAGAAAGTAAATTGGGCACTTATTGTGAACCGGAGGGAGTAGTGATCAGAAGTATCATTTGTAAAAACCATAGTGAAATTTGTATGCGACTTCGTGACTTAGTTTATTTCTTCGAAATTTGTAGTGAAACCTTATTATCGAAGTCAAGATTATAGTTAGATTTCTATCTATCCTTGGTTCGAAATATGGCAAACAGAACTACTGTTATAAGGGGCGGTGGATTTTGAGGCGTTACAATTGATAAATATAAAATATTTACTTATTATATACTTTTAATATTCTGCTTTAAATAATATACTTAAAATATATTTTGAATTTTGCCTTTTTCTATCTATTTTTGCAGAGAAAAAAAGAAGAAGAAAAAAAGATTATGAATAACAAAAGGAAAAGACAGAATGTTCGATGAAAGTCTGTTATAGCAAGCACAAGAATTGAAATAGCAAGATGGAAGCATATAATTAAAGTTTCGACGTATTCAAGCCCCCATCCTCAGACGTATCCAAACTCCTATCTTGGACATATCCAAGCTCATATCTTCATACGTGTCTAAACTCCTAGTATGAGACACATCTAAGATTTAATGCCTGCAAGATTTTTCTATAAATATAATGCAAATTTGGCATCGGAGAAAAAAGGAGAGATGTAGCAAGAGAACTACTTTTCTCTAAACTTTGGTCTTAACTTCTTTCTTTAACTATTTCATTTTCTTCTTGTAAGTTTTTGGATTTTCTAAGAGTATTGGTATTATTCTAGAATTCCTTTTCGTTGTGAGATTTAAATACTCCATAATGGAGTAATCTCGTTTGTTGGGATAGCTGATGAAGCTTGATAAATATTTTTATAATACTATTTTAGTTTTAATACATCTTGGCTTGAAATTTTCTTTTTATAATTCATAATGTGCTGAAATAATAGTTTCTAATTAATTACTATTATCACTTCTATATATTTTGTTTAAGTTATTTTTATATTATTTTGGTAATTCTCACGAGGCAGAATTAATATATAATAACCAATGAATAAAATAGTAGAGTGTGAACGAGTTTTGGAAAACTCTTATTTTAAATCTATTATCTTGTTTGTCTCGATTTTAATTCTCACGGAGGAATTGTTGTAAGCAAGATTACTGATTTTTAGTAAAAATATTCTCACGAAGTTTTTACTACCTTTTAGCATAATTCAGGCAAGAAAATATTTCGGTTTTGATCGCCACTAGCTTTAACTCAATTAATTACATAACCTCACGGAGTGCTATTAATTGATTTTTTCTTAGTGAGAAAATATAATTGCATTAGCAATAAACAATTATTCTTTAGAGAAATACATGTAGAAATTGAGATTTTATTGTAATAATATTATCAAGTGAATTCAACGATTCCGAACTCTTTTTAAATTGTAAATCTTTCGGAAGTTGTTCGGTTTTCTTTGAGTAATTAACAAGTTTTAAAACCTCAGTCTCCTTTCATCAATTTGATTCTCTCAGATAGTAGTAAAATATTAAAAGTCTGTAGCCTAGATTAACCAATTTCAGTGGAACAATATCATAAACTATACTAGAATTTGACTAAGTACGAGCGCACATTGGTCTCGTCAACAATTAAAACTGTAAATACTAACAGATCCTACCAAATGTTGTTCAACTTCTGGGAATTTTGACTTAATAGTATAATCAAAGCAATAAAGGTCACGTACATAAGTAACAAAGCATTACCAGAAACAAAGATATATTTCACGCCGGTCAAGATACATGAACGTCTACATGTGTTGGCGTCCATCCAAACATCTAGTTAAGGAGATATACCTAACAAAACCAAAGCAACCAACCACTCACGAGATATCTTAAGATAATATAGGTTCCTGTATCTGAATTTGATTGAAATTTGTAATAACAATTACAATGCTAGAAAATGGTGTCATAATTTCCAAAAACTAGGCATCCCTTGACCATCAATTTCATTTAGAGATCCGCTCTTCCTGGATATCTGGGGAAGGGAATGACATCCCGAATGTTTTCTATCCCAGTGGCGAAAAGAATCATTCGCTCAAAGCCTAAACCGAAACCACTGTGTTTCACAGTACCATAGCGCCTCAGGTCTAGATACCACTCATATGGCTCTAGTGGTAAACCCATCTCCAGTATCCTGCAATTAAAAAATGGAAGATTCTCAGTCCAAATTCCATCATTACTTCATTGCAATTACCTAAAGTTAATTCATCCCAGTTCACCTTAAGGACAACAAAGGGTAGGCCAAACAAACAGTTAAATACTGGAATTTAATCACCAAATATGTGAACCAGAAACAGAATCTAACTCTCTTCTAGCAAATTTGTCATACCTTGTTCTGAGGACCTCATAATCCTCTTCTCTTTGGCTTCCTCCAATTAGTTCTCCCACCTGCAGAGGAATGCAAACAATTTGTTCATGCAGCAGCAGACAAATTTACTCATGATCTTGAAAGAGAATTGGATAGTTTTTTTTTTAGGGGGGGGGGGGGGGGGGTAGGAGCTG